ACCTTACCTACCTACCTACCTACCTACCTACCTACCTACCTACCTACACTACACTACCTACTACCTACCTACTACTCTCTCTCTCTCGTACGTACTACCTCCTCTCTCTCTCTCTCTCTCTCTCTCTCTCTCTCTCTCTCTCTCTCTCTCTCTCTCTTTCTTCTCTAGCCCCAACCACTAGTTCGAAAATCAGCCTAGTAGGTTTTTTGAGTGAGTTGATGGTCATGACCATATAAGAGACTGCACGGGTTCTTGGTAAATTGGGGAAGTTGTCCAAGGTTTTTTGAGCGGGCTGAAAGAGATGCTTTATTATCAGATGATTATTGCAGCTCATTACTTCTTGTTTCCATTATGGAATAGTTATTTTACAACATATCGATCTCCAATAGGTCTTTTACGCTAGAAAATTGCAAAATAATCCATCTGTTTTATTCTTTAAAGTCTGATACACCGTTATTTGATTCTGCAACTAGAAAATGGAACTTTAGTGCCCTTCCATATGTGCCTGCAGTTTTGTGTTTTAGTATTTTCTTTTTTGGCTTCTCTTTTCTATGTTGAAGTGGAATCTGCGAGCATATGCCCTTTCATTCATTGGCTTGAAATTATATGCATGCATACACGTCTGATGCATGTGAGATGGGTTTCTTTTATTTGTAATGAGTAATTTTTTTAGTGCTTTTTATCTTTGGATATGGTAGTATTGTTCATGTGAGTGGCAAACCTGTTCTCGTGCATTTACTATTTGAAGAAGTTTCACAATGTGGGTTATGTATATATACTTATTATGGTTTTTGTTGGATATAGAATGATGTCTATAGATATAAAAGATTTGTTGATCAATCATCGTTTTTTCGTGATACCTTCAAAGCTAATTTAGCAATTAAAATGGAAGTGTGTTCCTCCACTAAAAACATCTATTTCCATACCTTCCATTATGGAAAATAATGATGCCATTCAATTATTAACTAAATAATTATAGGGAGAAGAGGGATAAATTTAACGCAGTATTTCCTAGCCGAAATGTCGGTAAAGCATTTCCCAGATTTCTTCCGCCAAACATTACCAATGTATTTCCTAGGTCGCACCTAGATGCTACCCAAACAGTAACAATCGATTTCCAGGTAATGTATTACGCCATTATTGTAGCCAGTAATATATTTCCCAGATAATATATTTCCAGGTATCAATCAATCCAATGGCGCCATCTGCCCTCAGAGAGCTCCAGCATGAGATCGAGACACAGGCCAACCTTCTCTCCAAGCTTCAAAAAGGCAAGTCTCGTCCAGAAAACCCTAGATCCCAACTACACTCTACACTGTCGTATATGTCTCCCCCTCAATAATAACTCATTTTTCTTTTTCCTTCTTTTGCGAAAAATATCAGACACAACTAAGAATCACCAAGTGAGGAAGCAATACACCATTCAACTGGGGGAAAACGAGCTGGTCCTCAAGGTATTATATTTTCTTTCAACAAATAAATAGTGAATTAGTGATGGTCTTTCTTTCGTGTTATTTGCAGCTTCTTTTACTACTAGTGTTTTTTTTCCTTTTTGTCATTATTTTCTGTAGGAACTGGATTTATTGAACGAAAACGCAAACATTTATAAGCTGATTGGGCCGGTGCTCGTGAGGCAAGACCTTGCAGAAGCCAATGCAAATGTTAGGAAGCGGATTGAGTACATAAGCGCTGAACTGTAAAACTCTTGCCTCTCAATTCCTCTGAATCATCTCTTTCTTTTATCTTTTGTATTTATACATTCCTTAAAACAATCAATTTTCTTCTTTATCTTTTTATTTTATTTGACATAATCTTGTTTCTTGGGTAACCATTTCATGGTAAGTTTATCTTGCCTGTTCAATTTCGAAATATCAACCTTGCTTTTATTTCTTGAAGGCCTTTTCTTGTTTGGAATATGCACAGAATGAGACCTACTTCTGAAGCTTTCGGTAATTTAATTAATAATTGCTATATCATCTTTTTTATTTGATTTATTTCTTAACTGTATTATTGTACTTATAGTTTGGTTTTTGGTTGATCATCTACTCACGCTTTATTTATTCAAGGTGTTCTAGCAGCAAGCTAGGAGATTCCAAATATGTGTCCTTTGTTCACCTTATGGATCTCCTTGTAAATGTGTCCAATGGGAGCTATATGTGGACTCCATTAAATTTGATTATTCTTTTAAAGATCTGCTGATTCACTGCTTGTAAATTGGGATTTCTAGTGGCTATAGCAACAAATGAGGGATTTAATAGAAGACTTCTAAAAAAAACCAAGCATTGAAGAGAAGATTGCTGCTTCCGGTTTGTTTACATGTTCTATGTGTTGGTTGGAAGCATTCAACTATGTTATTACACTAGGCTGTTTTTAATGTTTGTTCATTTGAAGCCTTTACTTTTAGAATAAATTGAAAGATTGCTTCAAAAATTAGCGTCACCAATTTCAGTTTTCTTTAAAGAATTTAGAAACTGTCCTCAACCAATCAGGCTCCCCAACATGCATGACATGGTTTTAAAAAAAATGTGGTTGCATCATAACAGCAACACACAAAAGGCTTGCCCTTGGATCTACAGATAGAAACAACTCCAACCATATGGTTCTGTAAGATGGACCATTACTTTAGCGAGTGGATCTGCCTCAAAATTGGCTTCCTTAGAAATGGTGGATGGAACTGCATAACACCTATGGATTGACTAGTTTCATCTATCACAGCCAAGATGCAAGCAGTTAACCATAACGGATTGTCTTAAGTTGTTTACCTTAACAAAATTAAGTGTATCTCGATGCCAGTGGAGGTTCTTCATACCTGGATCAATTCACTTCTTCTCATTGCTTTCCTTATCCATCAAACCTGTATATCCCAGTGGAACAATATCTGAAGCCTGTGAATAATTGGTTGAGGCTTGAAGCCATGGAATTCATGACCCCAAACAAATATTCATACAAATGAAAAATGAATTTTCCCTCTCCTTGAGGATGTCAATGAATCCAACAACCTTAGATTCCATGTAGAACCTCCACCCCAATGATGCCTAAGCAAAACCTTCGAGCCATGCGCCTAGTAAGCTAAAGTAGCCAATTGACATTTTTAGGCTTCCTTGCGAACAGAATGCCTTAATGGAATTTAAGCTATTTTTTGCTTGTTCATTTGCTTAATTCATTTGTTGAAGTCCACACTTGCAAAGCAAATAACACACCCAAACATCCTGTCATGTATTCCCAATTTTTAATCATCCATCCATTATTCTCATGCCCATACTTTTATCTACCACTCTAGACCAGGGAGTGTTGTGATCTCTCCCTCAAAGCGCCAATTCATTTGCCCAAAGCTGTTCGATTCCCATGCCATCTTGATGTTTCAGTTTGTAAATATCCATCAACTTCATCAGTTAATGATCGTGACTCTTACTAATCTTCGCTTATATGAATTCCCCCTGCAGCCTCCCTAATGTCTAGTCGCACCTATGAAAGAACATGTAAGAGACTACAATATTATAAGATAATCATTCTACCAAACGGACAAGCTCTTTCATGACACTTTTACTCATTAAAACTTCTCAACTGTTAGGTCCCCAAGGCTTTTCTTAGGTATAGAGTGCGTAGGATAAACCCTAATATATTTTGTTGGAAGCTTCTCACCCTACAAGTAGCCTACCAACAAACTCCTCAATTCTTGATTCCTTGCAACTGACTTCAACACTTCATCCACAGCCTTGAGACTGACAATTACATCTTTGAGTACTCTGCTTACTCTTTGACTAGCATTGTTGAGATTAATCTATCAAATAGAACACAAATCCAAAAGTGGTCTGTGAGCTATTCTCAAAATCCTAGCAGGATGCAAGAGAATATTAATTAAATGTGGAACAATTTGAACTCATTAGTAATTGAGATTGTTATCATCTTAGTTATAAGAAGTTTTATGTATGTATCTTTCCTCTTAGCATAATAAGTAAGAGAGGTAGATACATGAAAGTGTACATTATCAATAGATTCATCTCTTAACTTTTACTTCAAATAATAGGATCACTAGACTCAAAATTTCCTAAAAGTACTTTTGATACTCATACAAAATTTACTAGCATTTAACTCTTTTAAAAACTATACAATGTGGATTTCAAAACTCAAACACTTCAACTTCTTCAGTTTGTCTGTTTCATGGAATCTGGATTGAGAAGGGTGTTCTAGCCTTATATCACAATTTTCGAAGTGATGAGTCCCTCAATTGTGATGATGAAAGAAAAGGTATAAAGAGGATTTGGAATTCAAATATTGCAACACCATCCTTGGTCCTTCGTATAAACATTCAGAATTCCTGTCTTTCCTTGAATGAAATGGAGGGAAGGAAAACAACAACGCAATCAATTGTTGTATTACAGTAGACTATAGGAACGGGGAAAACATTTCATGGTGAGCCACTTATGGGCGCACAAGTTATTCTAGTGGTTGGAACATAAGAGTAATCACTCACAAGTGTGAGCTTGGTAGTAGAGAGATGAGAGAAAGCAGTCAAGGACCCAAAAATATCTTTAGAAGGCCTAATCAAAATACTAAGTGAAGTTTTCTCATTGTGGATTATTTTGTGACATTAATTGAATAACATGGTTCCCTTGTCGAAGAGTTCTGTACAGTTTGATTATGTCATGAGTTGTTGGTTTAGGGCAATGATCTTTTGCTTGGCAGCTTAGTTTTTCCTCCTTCTTACCATGGATTGTTTAGGCAGTGTAACATTAAGGTGTTGAGAGTCTTGAGCAAGATAGATGGAACTCCATGTAGGAAAGAACATTTTTCTATGATATCTTAACTTCTCGCATGTTGACCACATTGGCCTACTTAGGTTCCTGTTCTTTCTCTTCCTCTTTAATTGATATGATTTGGAAATCGACTTTTGCTGGTCTCACTCTTTGCCTTGAGCATTATCTTGAGTTGGAGTGCTCTTATGAGTGATGGCTTAATTTGGGTGGAGCTAATCTTCGATCTGCATGGGCAATAAAGTCTCCATCTTGTTAAATATTTTGTCCACTAAACATTTTCTGTGGCCTCCCCTTGAACAACAAGAGGCATAACTGATGCAGGAAAATAGTGAAAAGATGCCAAAAACAGTTCAACCACCATGAAAATATACCAACTTTTAGTGGATCTGGCTTTCCTTACCCAAAAAAGTGACCCCAAAACCCTATATAGGGCCTGTTGGCACTATTCATTGTCTGTTTTACTGTTCACACCCCAAAAGTGTAGAAGCCCTGACATCTAGGTCTTTCTATTATATTATGATAAAAAAGGACCAAATTTACCTCCATTTAAGTTAAAACATTATTAAAATACCTCAAAAGTCCCATCATTTAAATTAAAGCATAAAAGATTTTTAAACTGCCCCTAATTTTAATATAAGCACTAGAAATAACTAGAAAACTGTTAACAAAAATTAAGTTCCTTCAAAAATTCAGCCTTGTCATCCTAGATCCCCTTGTGACTTTGGGATGTGGATCTTCATAAAGGGGGTTGTCAAAGGATGGATTGATTGGATCAAAAGGCTTATAGGAACTTTCTTGACTAGTTGAAGGACTCCTTGGTGGATCAGTCTAACCCGGTTGGGAAGAACTCAACCTCGAGTTCGGCTATTCTTCAGTTGTTACTTCAGGTCCGTGGTACTCGAAAAGACAACGACATTGAACACATGTAACGTCTTCATCTCAGCAGGAAGGTCGATCTTATAAGTATTACTCCCCATCTTCTTTAGCACCCGGGGCAGTCCAAACTTCTTGACATTCAGCTTGTTGTATTTGCCCATACAATGCCTATCTCTGCGTAGATAAACAGTCACCGAATCGCCCACTTGGAACTCTTTTAATCGCCTATGTTTATGTGCCGCTTCCTTGTACTTCGTAGTGGCAATCTTGGATTTAATACCTTGAGTTCCACATAGCTACACCTTTATTTTTATAACCTTTCTAGGCCTTTAAAGCCCATAAAACCCAACATCTCCCACTTGGCCTTTGAAGGCCATATAATAACTCCCTCTCAATTTCTCTCAATCCCATCCCACGTACATGTTTGACAAAAACATTTGCCACCAATCCTTTTTGTCAAAGATCGGCTAACATAGCCTCTGTCAGGAGAAATGCAATCGTAATCTATCTTGCTTGGATCTCGTTGCGAATATGTTAGTTGCACGGCTTTATATGCCTCAATTTCTTGTGAAACCTCGGCTCTTTTGACATGCAAATAGCTGCCTGGTTAATGCAGAAGATTCTGACATACGGGCATTTCACTGGATCAAATTTGAGTTGATTTAGGGGCGTCTTCAGCTAGATTGCTTCTTTAGTTGCGAAATAACATGCCACATACTCGGACTCCATAATCGAGAGTGCAACAATATCATGTTTCTTTGAGCACCAAGAAACAACTCCACCTGCAAGCATGAAGATATATCCGGATGTAGACTTACTCTCATCTAGATCACCTAGATAGTTTGCATTAGAATATCCTTGTATATGTATATCTGAGCCTCCTTTATAAGTGAGTGCATAATTAACGGTTCCCTTCAAATATCGTAGTGCTCTTTTGATGGCCTTCCAGTGCTCCATGCCTGGATTACTCTGGAACCTGCTAATCAAACTCATGGCAAAAGAGAAATTCGGTCTTGTCCCTAACCTAGTATACATTAGTGAACCAACTACGCTTTTGTTTAGA